CAGAGTCCTCTTTAGTGATCAATATTTTTTTAAGTTAGAATAAATATGAAAAAAAAAAGGAAAAGAAAACAAATATGCAGCAGTATGTTTGGTTATATCCTATTTATGTGTAGACAACATGTTTGTGTAGAGACACACTTGCACACATTTGTATTGTGTATATTTCTTCTGGGATAGGTAGGAGGAGAGACAGTTTTAATTTTGCCTTGTACTGTTTTGAACAATGAACTTGAGTGAAGGGGTGTGGCTTCTGACTTCGTTTACATTCTCAGCTTTATTGTCTGTTGCTGATGGATTAGCTTCAGTTTGTCTCCACATGTTTCCATTTGATAAATTGGAAGTGTCTTATTAATCTTCATAACTAAGTAATTTATCTCTCTCAATAAGTGGTACAGTTCATTTGTAATTCTTGGTAACTGAGTGAACCCTGCAGGCAGCAGCTGTGGCAGTGCAGAGGGAAGTGTTGGCTCATCCCCCATCTCTGTAGCTGTCTCCCATTTTTAGTGAGTAAGCCTCAGCAGTGAAGAAGTCTCGTCGTATTCCAGAATCGGCGGAGACATGTTACTGGTCTGGCCCTAGGACATACAGTACTTTTTGTGCTCAGATAAATGTAAACCCTAGTCTTCATGAGTACCCTAGTACTCATTGCTAGCAATGTGCGCTTACGGAAATTAGCACGTGAGTCTTGCTTGCTTCTCAGGAATAGCAGGTACTGCAGATCTTACTAGTAAGAGAGGGTAGTGGTTGTATCCGCAGTGTGTCTGGCTCCTGTGGGATGCATACTGGCTAGAATTCGCTACTGTGTGCTGCTCAGGTAGTTTGCTGTCCCTTTACTAGGAGCAGCTTTATTAGCCTTTTGGACTTGGAGCGCTTTCCCCGCTCGCGGGCTCTCCGCGTCTCCTCCAGGCTGACTTACTCTGCCCGGACCCGTGGTGCATGCAGCTCATCAGTGTGCCGCTTCACTTGTTGTATTTTTCTTTACTTTTTTTTTAACTTGCAGAATTCTCGAATTTACAGTCAAGAGGCCTACAGTGGTATAGTGAACACCTGTGTACCTTTTCTCCAAGTTCACTGTAAGCATTTGCTACCCTTCGTGTGTCTTTCTCATTTTTCTTCTGAATTTCTTCAGAATAATTACTTAATAATAAGGGACTGTGACGCCTTACCTCCCACATTTGCTATCTGACTGCAATATATCACACCCATGAGCTCTAACATTGAGATAATACCATTATAAAATAAAATAAGCAGTTCATATTCATGTTTTTCCACTTTTCCTACAAATGTCCTTTTTAGCTTTTTTTTTTCTCTTGATATTGCTTTTATCCCAGGCTGGTCTTAAACCTGTGTTCTTTCTGTCTCAGCTTTCTTAAGTGTTGAGTTTATGTTGTTTGCTCGCTCTTTTTTTTTTTTTTTTTTGTGGGGGGAGAGGGTGTTCTGGCAATGAAACTCAGGCCCTGTGCAAATGAGGCAAGCTAGGCTTCTAGTCTCTTAGTCACTGACTTTTTTTCCTAATCTTTTTGAGAAAGGGTTTCTTTTTTTTTTTTTTTAAAGGATAAAATAAGTTTTTATTTATAGTCTTATAGTAAAGGGGGAAGCCTTAACTTGCAAGACAATTCTTCAGCAGTATGTACAACA